AAACGAAAGGTTTCCAATTATCTTCTCGTTCAATCCACGCTAAAACAGTTGTCGAATCTGACCAATAATATACTAAAATGTCTTCTATTCCGATATCTTCAATTACAGTTTTTCCCAATCTAGCTCCTATTGTAGCAGACAATAACTCTAGACGACAAATTGACAATTTTTTGAGAGGCGCGACTCTAGACTTAGCTTGTACTAACTGTACTTGAACTTCCTGGTTAGACTCTGACCTTAAAAATATCACAGTAGCGTAGGCATATTGACAAGCATCACAGAAAACGTGCAAGCTAAAATTTTTACTATAATCTGTTAGAATCCATCGTGGAATTGTCAAATTTATTAAAATTGGCATCTGATTTGCCCATTCCACAAAACTTGACTTTATTTCTTCTGTGACTTCTGTGTCCCATCCCATTTTACACTGCCAAATCTTTTGTAGTAATAACTTTGGGAACAGTGACACTGGTGATGTAAAACCGATTGGGTCAAATAGTCTATGGGCTGAAGACAAAATTTCTCTTTTAGTTACAAAATTCACATTAATTTCTTGTAACCAATCAGAAGAAAGCTCTAGGGTGTCAAAATTTCTGTTCCAATAAAGTCCTAAAACAGGTGTTAATTTTGTCGCCATAGGAAAACCATCTATAACTGTATGCTCCCAACAACGTAGGTCAAATTTTGCTTCTGCAAATAATTCCGTAGACTCTTTCATAAAATTTAGCAGTTCTTCCTTGTTATCTACACTTACGACACAGTTATCTACATAAAAATTGTTCAGTAACTTAGAAATTGTAAATTTTGATACTCTTGACGTTACATTTGTATTTTCTAATGCTTTTCGCAAATGCAACTGTATCACAGCACCTAACAAAAATGGACTGCACGTTATTCCAAAAACCACTCTCTTATGACGAAAAATCCTTATATTTGCTTTATCATCATACCATAAAAATCTAAGAAAATCTCTATCATTATGGCATAAACTAATTTGTAAAAAAGCTTTTCGTATATCGGCTACAACTCCAATCTTTGAAAGACGAAATTTAGTAAGAATTGATGGTATTAGCTCTATTAGGTTTATGCCTTTTTCTATGCATTGGTTTAATGATGGATGGCCTTTGGTTTTAGCTGAAGCATCAAATACAGGTCTTATTTTTGTAGTCTCACTGCTCTCTTTCACTACGTGTCTATGAGGTAGATAGTGACTTTCTTTACTTGCATCTTCCGGAGGTACTTCTTCTATAATATCTTCTGCCAACCACTCATTAAAAACTTCTTCATATCTATTATAATATCCTTCCTTGTGAAGTTTTTTCTTTAAATTATCTAATCTTCGCAAGGAGAGGTCAAAATTGCTGGGTAAAGGGGCATGTCCTTCTATCCAAGGCATGCTTACTTCGTATCTTCCGTCTTCTAAAATATGTACAGTTTCTAGAAAATGATTTATGATGCTCTCCTCCTTTTCCTTTTTTGTCTTGGCCTCTGAAGGCTCAGTAATACCAAGAACATCTAGTTCCCATAAATTGGATATAGTTACATCTTTATTAAACATGGACGAGGTTATAGCTATTCTAAAAGGTGATTTACTTTCTTCTGAGGGAAAAGAAGTCTTGCCTAGAACCGTCCAACCTAGAAGAGTCTGCAAGGCGACTAGTCCACACTTCAGCTCATGCTTCTGCCCCGTATATAGCTTGCCTGCTATATCCGCTCCAATTAGGATATCGATCGGACCATCACATACATCTGTTATTTGGATACCTATTTCATGCAGTTCGTCCATCCATGGACCTGGTTTAACTGAAGTTACATTATTGCAGATAGTTAACTGGTCTAGAGCCTCAAAATTGCAACTATAAGTCTTTTCTAGATTACTAACTCTTATGCGATAACAAAAATGGTTTACTTCTTGGGTATTTGTACCTCCAAACAAAGAATGTATGATTGTTTCGTTTCTAATTGGCTCGTATTGCATCGTAGCTGCCATTGATTTCGTTATATACGATCTTTCAGAGCCAGTATCTATGATTAAACGAACATTTCTTGATGTATGATTTCCATATAAGCGTACTACCATAGTTTGTAAAAATATTTTCGAATAGGTGGTGTTGGACAAATTATTTTCGACATTCATTGATTGTTCGTGATCACACTTAGACTTATCTTCAACGATATCTAATTTTGGACACATAATAGCAAAATGTCTCCCTTTACAGTGTGAACATGTCAAATAAAATCTGCATTTTTTCGAAATATGCCCAACTCTTAAGCATAAATGACAACAACCTTTATTTTTCAATTTCTCTCTTTTCTGAGTTAGTGACCAGGTTTTTGCCTTTTCGCAGTCTTCTGAAGAATGATACTCATTACAGAAATTACATGTTTTCTTAATTTTATTAAATAAACCGGAAGCAGTTGGAATTACACTTTTATTAGGAGTAGAAGCAATTTCGGTTTTTCTGGACTTTTGAGTGTCGAAACCAGATGTAGCAAGTGCAATTTTCTCTTCTCTATTTACCTCCTTCTCTAGAAATTTCATCAGCATATCCAAACGGTCTTTTAAACTGGAATCGTCATCATATTCTGGACTTCTCTGCCAAACTCTTATCAGTTCTTCTGGTAAACAGGATTCTACTAGTGGAAATAGCATTGCAGAATATGTTTCAGAAGATATATTCAATGATTCCAAAGATCTCAACTGACATGAAATATTGTCGTATAGAAAATGTAGTTTTGTTTTATTATTAAGATTGCGTATTACTAATCTAAGCAATTCACGTATGTAAAATTCAATGAGAAATTCTTCCCTTCCAAATCTTCGTTTTAAGCTTTCAATAGCTTTTGGATAGTTTTCTGCAGAAGCTGGATAACTTTCAATAAGACATCGTGCTCGGGATTTTGGAATAGTTGCTTGTATTAAATACTGATATTTATCCTCATTTTCCATGGAATCATCATCATTAATTCTTTTAAATTGACTCCACCAACTAACCCAATCTTTAATTTCACCACCAAATTTTTGGAATTCTAACTTAGGCAGTCTTAGACTGTTTCTATGATGACTACAAACTGATCTTGGATGTTGAGAGTTTAAACTATTTTCATCATCTAACGAATCTTTCTGCAAACATTTTTCTGCAAGTAACTTAATTTTAAAATGTTTCATCACATATTCATCAGATACTGATACTTCTAAATTTAAGATTTCGTCTGAGATAGATTCGGTCGATACTAAGAAGTGGCACATTTGTTTGTCTAAATCAGTAAGAACTTCTATCTTCTGATCCAATAACTGTAGAAGGCTTTTAATTTCAATTTCATTAAAGGTTGGACCTTTCAGCAAAGTGGAAAGTTGTTCATAAATTCGATTAAATGAGTTCCGTTGAACTTGCAAAGTTTTCTTTAGAGTCTCCATTTTCAATAATTGTAAATGTCCTGTCACGGTCGCCAAATGTAAAAAATAACAATATTTATTACAGGACACCTACCCGGTGATATTAAAATGGAAAACTGCAGAGATAATTCAAAATATATTATCGAAAAATACAACTTTCTTTCTAAATGACAAAATTAAAAAACTAACATGACATTATTCAAAAAATATTAAAACTGTCGTTAAAACACCAATTGTTTGATATACAGGAGGTTTCTTTCGTATTCCAGACTTCGTTTTAACATATATAAAAAAAAAATTAAAACGGTTCTGTCCTTCTTACATTTGCGAAGACTGCCCTGATATCTAATCTATTTTCTTCTTCAAAGTAATTAAGTTGTTCAACCGTTGTCTATAAAGGTATCTCACATCTCCCTCATACACACGAATTTGAAAAGCAGCAGAACAAAAATTCAACTAACCAGGTATACCAAGTCCGTGTAAAGAAAACTTTTCATATCCCGAAAACGTCAAGTGTCATCTAAAATTTCTACTTTTAAATATCAAACGTGCCGCCTCAGAGTGCCAATACTGATTGGTATATATACTGGGGTGTTATCCTCTAGATGAACTAAGTGAAATAGTTGTGGCTGTTTTTGTCTGAAATTTAATTATATTTTGTAATATTACAATAAGTCTGAGAACGTATTGCATTAGTAACACATGCCGCATGAACAAATTTAACAACCCCAATATGGCGTTTTTTAATTAACCAAAGTAGGTAAGATCTATTCATGTGAGTAACACAAATAATAATCAACTTTTGTCACAAAGTATTTATTGTTTTAGAACAAGAAAATGGCTTCAAAACGTTAGAAAGAAGATTTGATATAGGAAGAAAAATATCTGAATTCCCATTATTGAATTTGCACTCAACATTTTTAAATAAGATACTAAAATAAAAACAAAAATGCAGTGTTACAAATAATAATCAAAAATTAAAAAATATTTGTCATGTAATCGATAATAGACTGTAAGTGTAGTATTCTTTTTAATAAATAATTTAGCGTAATTACATTGTTTAAGTTCATTTACAAGAACATGAGAGTGCAGTCGATATTTATGCAACCTTTATTATCAGGATTTTAAATTTCCCGCTGCGTTGTTTGATATCGATGAAAGCGCCACATAGTGGGTCAGATGTTAACTGCGATAAAGCTGGTCGTTGTTAAGCATTGGCTTCTTATGGGCGTTTCCTATCTTTATCTCCCTTATCTCTGAACAGGTCCATAGGGTTGCCACTTGTCAGCATTTTGATAAGTCGTTGGAATTCCTAATTATTAATTTAAGTACTTTTTTAGTTGATTTTCGGAATATAAATTGTATCACAACTTAACTTATACTTTCAACTATTCTCAACTAATTTGAGAACCCACAAAACCATTTACTTTTTAAACGAGTTGTGAAGGCCAAAGTCGATCTTTTTACATGCATTTTTTTGTGCCAATTTTACTGTAAACCCTCCTTTAGCCCAAATTGCCTCTGATTTGAGCAGCAAGAATTTGCAAGGGAAGGGTGTGTGTATATTTTAATAAAATTGATAAATATAACATTTTTTTTGCAGGCCTTAATATGTTTGGTAGATAAAAAAACCGGTGAAAAAAGTAAAACTCGTCCAAGGTTTGTAAAGCAAGATCAAGTAGCCATTATGAGAATTGAATGTGCAGGAGTGATTTGCTTAGAGCCCTTTAAGTCGATGCCTCAGATGGGAAGATTTACACTAAGAGATGAAAGTAAGTTCAGTTGTCTTCTATTTCACATTTCAACAAATTAAAAACATATTTTTAATGATCATGCAATGAAACAAAAAATTAATCTAATAACAAAATTTTTACTACATTTTTAGATTTTTTTGTTTTATTTAGTTTACAATTCTATGTATTATTTTCATGACCCGAGACTAATTTGAGTGTCTCACAAATGTCTGAGAAGGCTTCTCCAGCAAGAAAACCTCTTCCACCTTATTTTAGGTCTATACACCTTTCCCATTATTCGACCATTTTGTATTATTCATGCACAAAAAAACGCGGGACTTTAGAATCTAGTAATCTTCTAAACAACTTATTTTTTATCTATTTCTTATCCTCACCCTAAGATATATGTTGGGAATGGGGTGTTAATACACTGCGACCTAAAAGATCTATTGTACTCCCTTCTGTCGCTAATGCACCAAGAAAATGTCTCAATGCCTATAACGACTCTTCCAATCCTATTTTCTTAAGAAAGTGTAGGATTTGGAGTGGCTTCAAGTTAGCTAAATCTCCCTCTTCTATTTGATATCCTCCTAGATATAGTGCCCTTGGATTCTGGAGTGATCCTCACCCTAATTACAACTATTGGGTTGACTACAACAATTACCCCTTCCCCCTCTCCGCCACCTTTTTTAAACAACTTTCATCAAGTCTCGATGTGTGTATTTTTGCTCCATAATAAAAGCCAAATCAAATTATTATTAATACAAAAACTCAAATGCAAAAACAAAATGACATTTGCAGATGTGTAATGGGCCCGTTCACTTTCATTTTTGAATGTGAATTAATTATATATTTATAAAGATATTAAACTCTTTTGTCTGGTGGTACTTTTCCCGCTAAGATATTTTTGCTAGAAGTAAGGGAATTCCCATAAAATTCTTTCAGTGACTCATTGCGTCAGAAAATCCCTAATTCCGTTCACGTCTCGTATCGGTTATGCTTAAAGACGGCGAGGTTGTCGGAAGTATCCCTAATATAGCATTTCTGCATTTATATATGTAATTTAAATAGCAAAATTCCATTATTTTTCTAAAAATCATGAACTTATATTTTTAGATTTAAAGCTGGGCTTATTTTTTAATTTTAAATTAAAACAATTATTTATTACTCAGGCTGAAAATTAACCAGACCATAATCAAAAAGTAGAAATTTGATTTGCAATATTTATCTGGTAAACGTGGCAACGTTGCATTTATTTCTAGAAGTATGTGTAGACAACACTATTTAGAAGCACTTACAACGTTGTCACGTTTACCAGATACATTTTCTCAAATAAAATTTCGATCTGGTAATATTCAGCTTGAGTAATACTAATTGTTTTTATTAAAATTTAAAGAAGGTAAGGCTTCCAGCTTTATCTGAAAATATAAACACATTATTTTTAAAAAATAATATATTTTTATCATGTAAATTTCTTTAATAGATGCAGAAGAGGAATGGTGGTGCAATGATACATCCGACAACCGCGCCCTTTTAACTATTGACCGATACAAGACCTGAAGGGAATTAGGGGTTTTCTGACGCAATGAGTCACTGAAAGAATTTTATGGGAATTCCCTTACTTCTAGCAAAAATATCTTAGCGGGAAAAGTACCACCAGACAAAAGAGTTTAATATCTTTATAAATATATAAATAATTCACATTCAAAAATGAAAGTGAACGGGCCCATTGATACTCGGTGTAGGAAACATAATAACACATTTTGATGACTTTAAGGTGAAGTAGGATTTAGGGGTGAGTGATAGAGGCCACTAATAAAGTGATAGAGTAGTTTCTCTTTAGTTTTCTACTGTTTCTTTTTTCCAATCGTGGTAGGAGTAGTATGTGATTCCAATCTTTGATGATTCTTTTGGCTTCTGTGCTGAATTGTCTCTTGAACTGTTGCAATATAGAGGTCTTGATCTATCATCTGTTAGCCAAAGAGGCTAGCCGCGAGATTAGTGTGCATCCACTTTCTCGCAACAGTTAACAGTTATATCTACGATCACGTCATGGATGTATGACCACTGGAAGATTTCACCATGGGATTTAGCCAACTAGCGTTTAACCATCGACGACGTGGGGTGAATGAGGGAGTGAATTGGCAAATGGGAAAGTAGTAGGACCTTCAAATAAATGGTACAATAAGCCGAAGGCTGCAGTGCTGCTAGGCTACATACGGATTAGGATGATAGCACGGGGGTCCAAAGGGTGTAAAAAAAATGTGATCGGAAACATACCCACAGTTTGGCCAACAAATATGTTTGTTCTTCCAGACTTACAAATTTTGATTAACGTTTTGCCATATTTTTTATTATATTAAAAAAAGACAATTTTTTAAAAATGTTTTATCTTTATGGTGATATTTCCTATTCTAGTTCCTAGCCTGTTTAGTAATACAGTTAATATTAATGGATATTACCAGTGCCAGTTCTTTGTATATTGTCCATTTTATTTAATCCAAACAGCTTACAAATTAAAAAGATCTTTTTATGACTTACTTCACCTGATTAAATAGAATATGAAAAAGTTATTTAGTACAATAAATGGAAAATTCTTTAAAATCTTTTTTCTAGACGAGTTAAAATGTATCAAAAAATGCATTAAAAACCGAGTAAGAATTAATTTTAGTACACCTACTTACCTTTTAATTTACAACAAAAAGGAATTTGTGCACACACATATTACTGTTTGAGCATGCCCTATTGTAGAAGATTAAAATTTATTTTCGCGCGCTGTTTTCGATTAGCTCATACCACAAATTCGTAAAAGCTGTGCCTCCACAGGACAATACGTCACCATGACGCAGTATCAATCGGAGTAATATAATTTCTTTTTATAGAATGAACATTACATATTGGCAAAATGTATTTGAGGTTAGGATATTTTAGTGGAAAGCGCCACCATACAGTACCTTTTGGGACTAAATTAGTAGCATTTGGCTGACTATTGGATATTTATGGCGTAGAGTATCATCTCAGTGGAGTAGGTTACTGTATTGGAAAAAAATTTAAAAATCCTTAGTTCCAAAATAGAATTTGATACTATACAGTCACATCAGTATAGTTGCTATTGGGTCACCAAAGTCACAGATCCTCTAGAGTTAAAATGGGGTAGTCCCATACACTTCACGGTGGAGGGCCAAGCTTTATAGTACCTTTGTTAAAATCGACAGCCATTATTAGATGCAAAACTTAAAAAAAAAAAAAAAATGGTGTTAATCAAAATTAGTTAATAGTTATGTTAATTTCTTATCATTAACTTTTACGAAAAATGATTTTGAAAGTATTCCAAATATTTCTCTAGTAAATATTAAAAAAATTTAATCTTTTTTTTTTTAATTATTCTGTCAAAAATTACAAAAAAGGTTATTTTGAGGGCGCGTTGAAATTTTATCAATTAGTATGTAAATTGCGTTTAAAAAAATGGCTAAAGAAGTACTTTAAACACGCGCCTAAAGTACATATATTTTTGGTATAATATATCCCTGGGTTAATGCAGAAGTATGCTATGTCCATTTTTTGCGAAAATGAGGTTTTAACGCCTATATCCAGTTTAAATATTATAAAATTTGCTGCAAAAATATTTAACCTTGAGTTTAAAAGAGCTGCAATCAAACTAGCTTATGTCCAACCACCTGAAATATCTCAATGCACAAGTATTTTATGTGGACATACAATACTTTATCATTTTAACTCTGGACATAGACTAGTACTGCTCTGGTAAAGTGATCGTCGTAGAAACGGTTGCTCAAAAGTGTATAGAAAATGTCACTATACCTGCCGACAAACGCGGTAAAGTTAAAACAAATAGCCGGTTAAAGAATCCGTACGTCAGCATATTAGTTGCTTTGCGCCCATAGCAAAAAAGTACGGTCTTTACAAAGAGTTTTGTGAAAGTAACATCTCACACCAAGAAAAGACCAGTGTGATGTTTGTAACAAATATGAACATACTTTAGCTGATCAAAAAACCGAACTACAAGATGAGTATAACTTCCATATTAAAACTAAGGATTTAGCTCGAGAATATAAAAATAAAGACAAAGAAAAAGGAAAAAATGATAAGGAGTTCTGTGTATTTGATCTTGAACAAATCTTGCCTGTACCAAAATCGAAAGTTGGTCTTGCTTATTACAAATTGAAGTTATCCACATACAACTTTACTATTTTTAATTTGGCTTTAAAAGAATGTAGTTGTTACATGTGACATGAGGGAATCGCTAAGAAAAGTACATCAGAAATAGGAAGCTGTCTTATTTATAGATGAGCAAGTTAAAAACGGCATAAAGGTTTTTTTTTTATTCCGGAATAAACACCTCTACAATTTGTATAATTATTTAACAAGCAAACATACCATTAAAATTCGTCATAGTCATTTAGAAAAAGGCCATACACAGAACGAAGGCGATTCCGTACATAGCCTGATAGAACGCGCCTCCAAAAATATTCCAATATATTTACTGGACCAATGGTATACCTTGGTTTGCAGTGCCAAAAGAAGTAATCCTCAGTATAAGGTTCAGGAAATGGCAAAAGAGTTTATATTCGTTTTAAAAGACTTGCAACTACAGACTTCTTTAAATTGGGATAAGGACACTAATAACGAAAAAGTAAAATGACAGAAAATTAAAATTATAGAGACAAACCCGCATTATCCGGATACAATATTGTTCAAGTATGAGTATCAAGCTACAGAATACAATAGAATGAATTTGCTACAAAAAGGAAGAAAGACAATGCAGAAAAAAAAGATTACATAATAAAACCCTTGTATCAAACTTTAGTTTCGATCAAGAAAAAAAAAGTATAAACACCTTCTTTTTCTTTGCAACAAACTGGTTATACTTTCTCAATACCTCTACTTTTTTCAGGGACTACCTTACAGTGAAAATGTAAGGGATGAGGTAGATTCAGATAATGAATAATAATTATTTTTCACCATTCCAGTTGTATCATAAGAATTTTGATTTTTAAAAAAGCTTTTTTATTTTTTTTAATGTGTTTTCAGTGAACATTTTATGTTCTATGAAAAATAGTTCTGTTGCTAATAAATAACGTTTCATAAATATTGCGATCCCTTTATTCACCTACAATTTTAACGTTTGTTTGATTAAGCATAGTTTTAGTCTTGTCCTTGATTTCTAAGTATGGACATAGACTATACTTGTTTCAAAATCAAAGTATCCTAACTCACTTAAAATGGACATATGATACCATTTTCAATACAAAAGTATGCTATGTCTCATATTTTTTGAATTTTAGAAAAATTAAGCATACTAATATTAAGAGAATATTCTGCACTAAAAACACAATAGAGTAACGGTTTTAAAAAATTTAATAATAACCTTTCGCACATTATTTAGTTTTGTTTCTCCTGTAAAAAGTAATAAATGTGACATAGCATACTTCTGCATTAACCCAGCGATATGTCACCGCGCCATTACTATTCAAGAAAAAAACAAAGATGTCGCTTAAAGATATAAATAATTAAAACGTGATGGTGGTAGTTATATAGCAGGAACGTGGCCGCGACTTTAGGTGTTGCTTGGGATAACACTAGTTACAAAAAGTATAAGATATTGGCAATATTGGTCTATATTAAAGAACTTGTTGAGGGATAGTTCTTTTTGTGCAACAAATTAGAAAGTTCTCTACCTTTTGTCGTAATGATTCTGGAGCCGCATAGCGAATGTTTTTTTAAATTATGACAAGGTAGACAATACACTGCAGATACAGTTAATTCATAAGGGTTTGCCCTTTTATAAATAAACAGCCGGTTGCAAGAACGTTCATTAAAATAAACTGAGAATGTAATATGTCAGAACGACATAAACTTCAAATTGTTTATATGACAAAGTTTATCAGTCTATTTTTTTTTTACTTTTAGTTTAGTTGATGTGTGTCTGTGTAACTTTTACGGAGTAAAAATCAGTGTATTCATGGTTACAAATTAACAAAATATCCGCTAAATCATTTTTACAAATGCACACATTAATATCTGTTTTTCGATACACTTGTATTGAACGTTCTTGTAAACGATTGAAAGTCTGTTACAAATATGGGTATCTTATTTTTACAAAAAGCAATGAACTTTTTTGAATTCAGGTTTTTATTTTCTTTTCCAGATAGGACAATTGCCATTGGAAAGGTCCTGAAACTCGTGGAATAAGGTGACTCACTGTCGCAAAAGAGAGACTGTTGTAGACCTTAAAAAATTGATATTTCATCCAACTGAAACACGAACTGACGTTTAAAGGACATTTTTCAATTGTATACAAAACAAAAATCAACCATTATTAAGTGAACACCACACAAAAAGTTCTTATGCTGAGCAAAGAGTTGTTGAGATCTATTGTTTTCCATTTATTATTTTTATTTTTAATATTATTGCATTGATGGACCAGTCTCCATGTGTTTTCCGGTATTTAAAGATTACACATGATTGAATTTTGGTAGAATGATTTGTGTTAGTTAAAAATAATGTTTCTTTCTGAAATTGAAAAATGATTTTTAACTAGGAAGGAAATGTACTGGTCGTCAAAATGTTTTTTATTTTTGAAAACGTGAAAAAAATCGGCTACCAAGTCAGTTATAGCTGCTATATAACAAAATGTCCTGCTCATAGGTCTGTGTGCTAGTTAAACTCAAGACATTTTCTAGATTATTTAATATCCCCTTTCTCTCTCTTTTGTCTTATCAAGCACACATGATTCAAAGACTTTATTTAACTACTTAGCTAAAAGTAAATGTTTTATTCAGAAGCTATATTTTTTAATTACTTTTGACAAAAAAATATAGAAGTTTTGGACCAAAAATGTTTAATTTGAGACTAATACACTTCATAGAAAGGTAGTTATTATTATTATTATTATTATTATTATTTTTATTATTGTTATTTGCCTCGGCCAAAAGATATTTGCTTCTGGTGTTGAATTATGATTTTGTAGAATTTTTTTAATCTTGAAGATTTTTAGTTTTTTTCAATAAACAATGAGTCATATCTAAAATTTTCAACTTTTGTTTTCAAAATATACAGTGTGATCTCACAACAAATAATGCTGAAATATATCCAATGAGTGTCTCATTTAATTAGATTGTGATTATGACAATGGGACAGGAGATTATTGTCCATATAATTACAATAATTACCCTAATTTTTTTAATCAATTTTATCATAACTATAAAAGTTGCGAATTTCGGTCTTAATACATTTGCAGAAACAGAGTGCATTTCTTATAATCTGCACAATGTCTTCTGGCATGGTATTCATATATTTGTTAAGCCTGAATAGGCATACTATTTTGCAGTAATGTTAAAAAAACAGTTGTAGGAATCCCAATAAAAATATATTTTTTTGAAAATGAATTGTAAATTTATGTTATCAAACATGTCAAACATGGTTTGTTGCTGTTGGGATAAATAACATTTCAGTCAATAAATGTACCCAACACAAAGTATTTCAGATTGAAAAATGCATATTGCATAGATTAGATGTCTTTATTTTTTCATAAATAAAATAAAATCTCGTAAAATTAACCATAACATAAAATATGATCACTACATGTTCAAATATGTTACTTTATCGTTACTAGAGAGTTTAAGGTGAACAAAAGTGAACGTACTATGTTAATGTTGAAATTTCATGTTTATCTTCTACTATTTATCTGTAAACATAATAATGAAATTTTTCTTTTATAAAAACCAACAGAACTTCATACCATTGAATAAAATATTCTGTTAAGCCCTGGTTTTTTCTTAAATTTCGTTACGGAAATTTCCGTTTAGATAGCACGATATTCGGTAACGAGTTGGCTCCTATCAGATCCATATGAGGATACGGATGTGGTTTGTATTAAAATTCGGTTCTATATTTCATCAACGTAAACTATTATTTGATTTCAACGGAATAGTACCTTGCAGTTGGTGTCTTTCTACATAGCTTTAAATGGTTAAGCGCTACAATAAGTTCAGAGACCAATAAAAACCACACTTGTATGTTATTTCCGGAATTTCGTCTTCTGGATTGGTACGAATTTTTTCCGTAACGAAATTAATAAAAATCAAAGCTTTTCTCACAGTGATTTATAATACAAATCTTTCACTTTTTTTTAACATTTCAAAATTTTTTTGTCACTTTCGTAGGTCCTTCAGTATAATTCAGATGACTGGCATTACTGTTTTCGCGAGAGATGAACTACTCCCGAAATACTGGTACGTGTTCACTCAAAAGCACTGAAATCCTTTACAAATCTATTGAAATCATCACGGAAATCCCGAAATCACTTCCGAAAATTAGAAATTGCCACCGAAATCATGGCCGAAATCCCGAGATATAACTATGGTATCAATATTTTTAGCAAGCCGAAGAAATCGATGATGCGGGAAATCGGTCAATGTGACCCAGAGTGTCCGGGTTTGGCGATCATTATCTGGTCTCCGGATTTGCATTAAAATTTTCCGAGTAACCCCAGATCTGAAATACACGCAACAGGTGCACAAAAAAAAACAAATTAGTAAAATAAAAAGAGTAAGATCTTTCGGATATTCCTTAAGAAATTTAATTTTTTTCCTGATTTCGGCGAACTCGTATAAAATTAAGCATTTCGCTAAAACCAAAATCGTAAAAAAGTTTCTGAGAAAATTGCCGAAATCAAACGAATTTTTGGCGATTTTCGAAGTACGGGTAAGTTTTGGCCTTAGTGATTTACAGTATGGCATAAATTCCTCGTGTTTTACGCATACCTACAGACCCGCTAGCTAATGGGGTCCCGTAACCATTCACGTATAATTACTCACTTTTACTCCCTGTTTTTGCTGCAAAGTAACGCGTTACCATATCGATTTGCTCGTAACGGAGTTATTTTATTTTCGTTATTTTTTAAAGTAACGCCTTGTTGCAAAATAACGCATTAATGAAAAAGTAACGCCGTACATATCTTACTGTAAAGTAACCCATTACTTTAAAAGTAACGGAATTCTAATAAAGCTTTGATTTTTTTTAAATTTCGGGATCTAATAACATGCAAGTATAGTTTTCATTGATCTTGAATAGCAGTGATGCTCGAACTCATTGTAGCGTTTCACTGTTTAAAACTACGTAGAAAGACCAACTGTAACGAACTATTGAGTTGAAGTCAAACTTGGTTTGGATCTACTGCAATTTCGTCAACGAACAATAGTTTATGTTGACGAAGTTTCGGCCCGAAG